GAAGAGCCCTCTGAGATCATCAAATCCAACCATCAACCCAGTCCTGCCAGGGCCACCACTGAACCCCAGCCCTGAGCACATCGCTGTGTTTTTTGAACACTCCAGGGGCAGTGATTCCAGCACTTCCCTGGTTCCCCAGGTCACAGCCCAGCCACCCACGTGGGGACCATGGGGCCATGGGGCTCCAGGCAGCACTGCTGGGGCAGCATCTGCCCTGCTCTGGGCCTGGAGGGTTTCCCTGGCTGCTGCTGGGCAGGGGGGGCTCTGTGGGGGCTGCAGGTCTCCACTAGAAGGTCTCCAGGGTGGTTGGAGCCGCCACTTCACTTTCCCTGTTCGGGTCCCTGCAGACATTGTGGCTGTTTTTCCAGGTCTGTGATGCTTTTCCAGCCTCTTTCTGCTCTTCGCTCTCTCCTGCAGCTTTTTTCCGCAGCCTCTCTCCATCTGCTCCTCTCCTCTTTCCCTCCCGCCTCATTTAACCCACAGCCCCTGGGGGGTTTTCACCCACCATCCCCCCCCCTTTCTGCTGCCCCAAGGCCTCCCTGAAATGCCACATCAAGGACTCAGTGCCCGGGGGAGAAGGGAGAGCTCTGGAATAACCTCCAAAGGCGGGTGACAGCGGGGCTGTTTGCACACAGGCCGGATAAATCAGCCCGCAGCCTCGGTGCCCGCAGCACCCGCCTGTGCTCGGCCCTTTCCACGCCGCCCGAATGAAGAGCAGGAAACAAAAACTTCATCCATTAACGTAATGACAGGTATTTCCCTGCTCTTAGGCCAGGCCTGGGCGAGCAAAACACTTAAGTACATGATTAATTTGTAGTCTAAGAGACTTAAGCACATGCTTAAGTGTTCTGCAGCCCCGGGCCTGACGACAGAGGTTTCCACGGCGCGATCGGAGCTCCCGACATGTTACGGTGGTGCTCAGATCTATGGATTAAGGGTGCCATAAACAGTTGAGATATTCTGTTTAAACAATCATTTGTTGACAAGACTATTCTAAGCCCATCGAATCCCTAAGTGATAGATGTATGTTGTCTCTCTGAGTCTCATGCTGTATCAGCCATTGATTTTTTCCAGCCTGGATGCTAAGGTAACCTTTACCTGGGAGCTTAGGCAGCAAGCGATGGGTGCATGCTCGCCATGCCGGCTGCTGTTTGCACTGCTGGAGCCGGGACAGAGGGGTGGCTCAGCTTTTCATCCCTCCACACGGCACGAGCCTGCCCCGCGTGCTCCGAGGGCTGGGGATGGAGGGGCACAGCGGGTTGTGTCGCTCGGTGCCGCATCGCACAAGCCGGGGGTGCTCCCCCTTCCCCAGCGTCTCCCAGGGTCTTCCTCCAACCCAAATCGTGTCTCAGGGTGGCTTTTCATCCTCCGCAGGATGCAGCAGCACTGTCCTGCCATCCATCTCCCACTCAGCACCCGCTCCAGGAGATGTTTATCTCCAGAGACCCACGAGTGCCCGGGCGGCTCCGTCCCTGTGTGGGCACCGTGTCGGGACACCCTTCCTTGAGATCTGTTTTAATCACATTTATACACTGTAACCAGGGGAAGGAATCTATTGACAGCCTGTCTTCACATTTCTGTCAATTCTTCCGGAGACATCATTAAATCCAAGAGTGGATCTTAATTTAACGTGTTAGCTAACGGGTTATTTAATTAGTTTTCAATAACCCCCAAAAAAGTGTGTGTGGGGGGGTGAAATGGGCTAAACATTAAGGGGAGAAAAAAAACCAACAAACCAGGGAGCAAGATGATGAACACGTCCAGGTTTCCCGGATCTGCAGAGAAATCATCTCCTCAGCCCCTTCGCCCCTTCTCTCTCACAAGAAAGAGCCCTGTTGCGTTTTCCCCTTCTCCCCACTGTGTTCAATAATAAATGAAAATGGTAAAAAGCAATTCATACACAGGCTAAGCGTCTGGATTTATTATCAAGACAATTACACCGAGGAGAATTCCCGGAAAATTACTCTTCGAAGTCTTTCTCTGGCACCCCCTCCTAGTTTGGATAAATACGGCAGCAATTACTGCTGCGGGAGAGAGGAGGTCACGGGGAAAGGGGTGCCAGCGCCTCGTGCCCCGGCCAGGCTGCCTCTTGGGTGGCATCTGCCATCGGGGGGGCACCTGCCACGGGGGGGGCTTCGTGCCCGGGGAGGTGGCAGAGTTTGGTAGGAGGGGGTGGGTTTGGGGGCAGCGGGTGCACGTGTTTCCCTGGGGCAGGTCTGTGAGGTGGGGATCGACTGCGGCCGCTCTGTGCGTGTGTCTGTGTGTCCCTGTGTCCGTGTGTCTGTGTGCCTGTGTGTCTGTGTGCCTATTTGTCCGTGTGTCCCTGTGTCCGTGTGTCCGTGGGGGGCTGTGACAGCCCTGAGTGGGTACGAGCCACTCTGGACTATTTTGGTGCCCAGTGCACCATGACCCAAGCCAGGGTGGGCAAGGGGCAGGCGCGGGCACCCCACGGTGCAGGGTCCCCCTGCCCGTCCCCCAGGGCAGCTGCCGGGTCTGCCCGGTGGTTCTCAGGTCCCTGCCTCGTCCCTGCTTCATCACCCGCTTCTGCCTCAGTTCCTGTTTCCCCTCATCCCCATCCGTGCCTTCTCCTTATCCCTGCCTTGTCCTCGTCCCTGCCTTCTTCCCTTCCCTGTCTCATCCCCATTCCTGCCTTGTCCCCTTCCCTGCCTCATTTCCCATTTTCCCTCACTCCTATCCGTGCCCGTCTCCGTCCCTTCCTGTCCCCATCCCTGCCCCATCCCTGCCTTGTCACCATCCCTGCCCTGTGTCCCACTTTCCCTCCCCCCATCCCTCCCTGCCTCCCCCGGCTGTTCCCGCAGGACGCGCCGTGTCCCCGCAGCCCCGGGGCTCGGCGGTACCTGTTGCGGGGGTTCAGCCGCCGGGACCGGGGGGGTCCGGGCCCGCACCCCCTCCCCGGGCCGCTCCGCAGATCGCGCAAGGCCCTGCCTTCCCTCTGCCCTCGGGATGGGGGAGAAAAGTGTCCAAAGCCGGGATCTTAGCGAAAAAGCAGAGGCGGCTTCTCCCGAGCCAGGTGAAGGAGCCTGCGGCGACAGGAAAATACCTGCGGGAAACAGAGAAACAGAGGGGGAAAATAATAATTAAAAAAAAATATATAGCATGTATAAAAAAATCGTATATATATATAAAATAAATCTGCACCCTTTGTATATATATTGTATATAAATATATAAACTATGTATTACTGTATAAAATAACTGCAGTGGACTCGCGTGCTGTGGGTGCAGGGTGGGATGTGGGATCGCGCTGCAGTGCAGAGGAAAGCGCCCGGTTCCTCTCGTTTCCTCGATGTTTTACCGGCCCCGGCTCCTGCCCCGGGGCCCTCTGAGCCCTCGCGGAGCACTGGGGTGCTGAGAGACGCGCTCTTGGGGGTCCCCAAAATGCACAAGGAGCAAAAAGTGGCAGAAGAGGGGGAACGAGGACATTTCGGAAGTCTGGGGGACACCCCCCCGTCCCGTCCCGCAGAGCACGGACAAACTCGTTGCACGTCTCACACTGTGGGACACCCGCAGTCCGGCCCGGCTCGGGGGCGGCCGGGCCCGACCAGGGAAAGGCGGTGAGAGAACGGGAGGGAGTGGGGGAAAAATTAGGAAAAAAAAAAATTTAAAAAATTCTATTTTATATTTTTTTTTTGTCTCTCGGAGCTGGGTGAAATCCCGGCGATTTTCCACACTTTTCCACCGAAAGCTCGGGAGGGGTCGAGCCCTCTCCGCGCCGCTGCCCGGGTGTAAAGTTCAGGGCTGCTCTGCGGGGAACTTTTGAAAACAAATTGCGGATTAAAGAGGCTCCCGGAGACTCCCGTTGGGGTTCCCGAGCCGAGGGGCAGAGGGAGGGACCCGGCCCGGCCCCCGGCCCTGGGTGGGTGCGGACCCCCGGGAGCGTCCGGCCCCGGGCCGGGATGCGCCGGAGCTCCGCGGGGCCGCTTCGTTCGGGCAAAACCCGCGGGGGTTACATCGAAAAGAGCGACAGCCCGTCCTCAGAGTGCCTCTCCGGGGCGAAATCGGATGGAAACCCCCCTGGCCCCGCTCCCCGCCGTCGCCCCGACTCCTCCGCTGCCGCCCGCCGAGTTTCGGAGCGGCCCAAAGTTTCGGGGCAAACGAGAAAAGTCTCCGGAAAGGCCGGGGAGGGGCCGGATCACCCCCCAGCCCTCCCCACCTCCCCCCCTGCTTCATTTACCCCGGTTGCTGCCGCTTTCCCCCCTCCCAGCGCGGCCCCGGCCCGACCCACCGGGAGCGGGGGAAGGAGGGCGGCGGAGGCGGGCGGAGGGGGGGGCAGCTCCGGGCGGGCCCCCCGGTCTGGTCCTGTCCCTAAAAACCTCCTGGGCCGGATCTGCGGAGAGAGGGAAAATATTCACGGGGGGAGGGCATTAAAGAAAACAGTATTACATCCCGCAAAAGGGAAAGAGAAAGGAAAAGGAGCCGCCGGGAGCGGCGGGGAAAGGGCCTGATCTTGCAGCTAAAACTGCCTTCAAACTAAAATAAAGGAAAAAAAACCTGCGAGGGCAGGGCGCAGATCCCGCTGATCGGCCGAGGAGGGGCCGAAATTTTAAGGAGAGGAAACGGCCGGTGGCGAAAGGGCCGGAGTTTCTTCCCGGCTGAATTCCTTCCCGGAGCGCCACAAACCAACGTGCAACGCGCTGGGCGCCGCCGGCAAAGTGGAGAAGGGAAAAACCGCTCCCGAAAAGGCGGGATGAGGCGGGGGAAGGGGGCAGAAGTGCCGGGCTGGCCCCCCTCCGCCCGTGGCCGGCCCGGGGGTCGCGGAGCCGCGCGGCGGGGGCGCGCTCGGGACGGCGGGGCCGGGGGGGGGGCTCCGGTCCCGGCGCTGCGCCCCCCGGAGCGGCTTCCTCCATATCCCGCTTTAATGACCCCAAATCCAGGCGGAACTTTTCCGGCGTGGCTGGTTTTTTTTTTCCTGCTTTGCTTTGTTTTGTTTTGGAGGCGAAAGCGTTTGAATCCCCTTCAAGAACCGGTATCAAAGTCTCTTTTTTTAAAAGCTATTGATTGCAAAAGTCTTATTTAAACCAACACATTTTAGTTTCTCACATTTTAAAACATCATCTGGGGCCCATTGTATGGAAAATCGATTAGCAGGAATTGCCACGCTCTTTGCCTCCCGCTTGATTGTTGGAAAATCGAGACATCCATAGGCAAAGGCTGGGCTGGGAAAGGTTTGGAACCGAAATGAAAGGGTTTGCGAGGGATCTATAGGCACTAAATAATTCACCTGCCAGGCGATGCTGCTGTTATTTTGAAGCCTTAAAGAACTTTAAGGAACTTTTGGCTCCCGGCGGGGTGCGCGGAGCCGCGTTCCGGCTCCTTCTCCCTCCTTGCCCGGTAAACCCCGAAGGTTTGGCCGGTGCCCGGTGCCAGCTCGGCGAAGGCACGGCCCGCGGTTCGGCCCCTCCGCTGGGGCTGGTCCTGGCCGGGTCGTTTGTGCCTTCACGCTGTTCCTAAGTGGGATGGGAAAAAAAATACACATAAAAATAATATAGATTTGAGCGCAAACCAGCTCGGGAGCTGCGCGTCGGCACCGGTGGGCAGGGGGACCGGCAGCAGTGCTCGTCCTGCCTCCCACACCCCTCCCCAGGCTCCGGGACTGCCCCCTACCCCCACCCCTCCGCCCCACGCCGCCCCTCCTGCACGGGCCGCCCCAAGAACCCCGCACCGCCCGGGGGGCAGCGGGGCACGGGAGGGGGTGCAGAGCGGAGCTCTGCCAAGCTGGAGGGTTTTGGGGTGGATTTGGGGGCGGGGGAGCTACTGGGTCCGCGCCTCTCTCCCCGCTCGCCCCGTCCAAGCGAAGCCGCTGCGGGGATGTCGCGGGGGTGTGTGGGGGGTGGGCCGGGGGGAGCTGCCCCGGGGCCCCGCTCCCCCTCCGCACTTACCGCTCCGCGCCCCCGGGTGCCCGCACCGCCCGGCTCCGCTCGGAGCGCTGCCCGGGCGGCTGCAGAGGAGCAGAGGGAAGGGAATTAAATAGGGAGAGGGAGCTCAGGAAGAAAGCGGAGGCGAGGGAAGGGATCAATAGCATCCAGCTGGCGAATGGAGCCCGGGCCTCTCCCCCGCGCTGCGCCCCGGCCCATCGCCAGAGCCTCTGGGCGCTCCGAGGGGCTTCCCCCGGGCCGAGGCCGCCGCGCAGGCAGCGAACCCCGCGGCTCACACGGCCCGGGGCCGGCCCCGCACCGCTGCCCGGGGAGCTCCCGCAGCCTCCCCGCGGCCCGGCCCCGCGTGTCTCGGTGCCTCTCGCCTGATGATATTGCATCGATCGGGGAAGAGCCGGGGGGGGCGGGGGGCGGGAGGGGGGCGCGGGGCTACCGCATTACTCAATTATGTCCCACTAATTAGTAAAAAGTCCCTCTTTTTTTTGCTGTTTGCTCGGTGCAGAGCTCGGCCGAGGGCAGAGTCCAGCGCCTGTCCCGGGGGGCTCTCGGCGCTGCGGGCCCGGCGCTGCTGCGGGGGGTGGGGGCGTCGGGAGCCCGGCCCGGGGACGCGGTGCGGGACGGCAGCTGCAGGGATAGATCTATCGATGGGCGGTCGATGGGCCGGTCGATGCGCTATCGCCATTATTACACTCAATGAAACCCTTCCAGACGCGGCTGCTTCATCCCTGGTTTGTTCCCCACCTCCTCCTCGCCGCTCATCTCGACACCCCCTCCCCTCAGCATCCTGTGGCTCTGCCCGGCTCCAGGCACCCCTGCCCGTCCCTGCCCGGATCTGGTCATCCCCTGCCCACCCCTGCCGGACTCCGGCCTCCCTTCCCATCTATTCCCGGCTCTGATAAACCCCTGCCCATCCCTACCCGACTTCGGGCCTCGACGTTCATCTCTGCTCGGCTCCAGAGCCCCTGCCCATCCCTACCTGGCTCCAAACCACTCTGCCCATCCCTGCCCGGCTCCAGGCCCCCCTGCCCATCCCTGCCCGGCTCCAGGCCCCCCTGCCCATCCCTGCCCGGCTCCAGGCCCCCCTGGCCGTCCCTGCTCGACTTCGTGTTCCGTTCCCCACCTGGAAGCCCCTCTTGCCCACCTGGGTATTGCGGATTTCACATCCCCAGCGGAGTCTCCGGGACGCGGCTCCCTCTGTTTTGGGGGTCCTGCTCAAGGCCCGCGGGCGTTAAGGCAGGGACAAACCGACGGGGATATCGAGGGGGGGTTGGAGTCCTTCCATATCCCGGCTCGGTCGGGCCCATCCCAGCTGGATCGCGGGATGGATCGCGGGGCAGAAAAGGAGCTGAGGAGAGACTCCCACACTCCCCTCCGTTCATCAACTGCCCCGCGCCCACGTCCCGGGAACTTGTGGAGCTTTATTGTAATGAACCGGGCACTTAATCGACCTCCCGAAGGTGGGATGGGGTTGGATAGGATGGGGTTGGATAGGATGGGGTTGGATAGGATGGGAGAGGACAGGGTGGGCTGGAATGGGTGGGAATGGCTGGGGTGAAATCCACCGAATTCGGACAGTTAATGTTAAATTTTGCTGAATTATTCCCTGCGCAGGCGGGTGGCGGGGGAGACACTCCGAGCACCGACCCGCGGCTCCCGCTCCCGGGAGCGCCGGGACCCGCTGTCCTGCCGCTGTTGCCCCGCACCGGAGCTCCCGGGCCCGCACGGACGCCCCTCGGCCGCAGGAGCAGCCTGGAGCCCGGCGGTGGCCGGGAACGGAGCAGCCCACGCGGAGCTGGCGGGGCCCACCCGCTGGAGGCTATGGATTTCATTTTTGTGTTTTCGGTCTGTTCAATAAATCTTGGGAAAACAGCATGTGCCGGCCTGGAGGAGCGGGAATGGCCGGGAAAGGCCAGAGTGGGGCGGGGAGCCCAGCTCGGGGCAGCGGGGATGGGGGCGGCTGGGAATGCGCCTGGAAGGACATCGAGCACCAGCCCCTCCGGTGGCCTAAACCCGGCTCGCGTCGGCTCTTCATCCCGGCTTCTTCCCCTTCTGTTCCGTTCCCTTTTCATTTTCCCTTTCCTTTTCAGTTTTCTCTTTCCATATTCCGTTTTCCATTTTCCCTTTGCAGTTTTCTCTTTCCATTTCCCGTTTTCCTTTCCCATTTTTATTTTCCCTTTCCCTCGTTCCTTTTTCCCTCCTCCACCACGACTGCCCAGGGCCCTGCAGCACCGTGTGTCGCCCCACGAGTGTCACTGTCACCTCCCCTCCTCGTGCCAAGGCGACCCCCCCTTCCAGAGGAGGTGCCCAGGGAGATCTGTGGAAAGGTGGTGATGGGGGGGAGACACGCGTGGGAAAACACGGGTGTGCGGGGACAGGACAGGACATCTGGGGTAGACGAGGACAGCCAGGCCCTGGTGAGGGACACGGGGGGGAACGGGGGAGGCAGTGAAGGGGGTCAGGGGGCGTCGGGGACGGCACATCCAGGGATGGAGGCGCATCAGGGGTGGGGGCGGCCAGATGTGTGCACGGGGGGCGGGGGGGAGATGGGGTCACCCAGGTGATGCAGGTGGGCACATCACACCCGCACATCACACCCGCCCGTCAAACCCGCACATCACACCCGCACATCACACCCGCCCGTCAAACCCGCACATCACACCCACCCGTCAAACCCGCACATCACACCCGCACATCACACCCGCACATCACACCCGCCCGTCAAACCCGCACATCACACCCACCCGTCAAACCCGCACATCACACCCGCAGCGCTGCCAGACGCGCGCTGGGCACCGGGTGCGGCGGGTCACGGCGGTGCGGGGGAAGGCGTGACACCCGGTGCGGGGAGGGTCACCCGGTACAGGGAGGGTCACCCCGGTGTCAGGGGTCGCCTGGCCCGGGGGGGGGTCACCCTGG